CTACTAACGGTAACGGGGTAACGTAAAACTACCTTTTACCCTTTCCTTACTACTCGTAACGGTAAAGGGTAAGTATACCGCCCGACACGTACTACCTCTCTCTCTCTCTCTCTCTCTCTCTCTCTAAAAATGGGGTGGAGATCTACCCGTTGTTTCTATCACTATCATTCAAATGAGGACAGAGCATATCAAAAGGTCAAGAAAGGTCTCAACAGTCAATGGTTTTCTCAAGGATTGAGCTGTGTCGCTGTATGACCAGTCCATGGTGCAAAAAAAGTGAGAAACAAATAAAGCGGAGAAGGATTTTTCCCAAATTGAGACAATAGAGGAAAAGAAGGAAACCGAGAAATGGGTTTTGGAGATTAGATGGTAATTTAGATTGGGTTTTGAAACGCTATGGATCTCTGCAAAGTTAGATTGGTCCCTTCTTAATGGGAAGAGAGAGAGAGAGAGAGAGAGATGCTTGTGTTTGTGAGAGAGATGCGTGAGAGAGAGAGGGAGAGATATTCGTGCGTGAGAGAGATGATGGCTAAAGATCTCTCCCTTTGGCCACATACCCAAAGCCCTCTCTCTCTTGGGCAGGTGGCCAAAATACTGTCTTCCTATTTTTAATTTTTAAGTTTTATTTATTTATTTATACTTTTCCTTTTCTGGAGCTGCACACTACTTGGGTAAGTCCACTTAGACTCACCCTAGTAACTCTGTTTGGGCCAGGGCTAGTACATGGCCCGAGCCGAGTTTCAACCACCAATATGTGTGTGTGTACATATAAGGGAGTCATTTCATGTCGCTGTTATATTGTAGTATAAAGAAGCCTCGCTCTTTTAAAAAACCGTGTTCATGGCATTTGTATGATCCCAAATTTTGCACTCGCACTTTCATCATCCGAATAATCAATGTCAAAAAAAAAAAAAATTGGATTTGCAACTAGAAAATGTCAAAATCACACTCTCTAGCAATGAATCTAGACTGCCCCTTAGGGAAAATTGAGATCTAGGCCGTTAAGAATTCAAAATCAAATTTTTTTTATTTTTTTTTTCGAATTTTCAATCTAATGTTTATGTGGCATCTAGAAAAGTTGGGATGAAAAAAATTCCTCAAAGGCCTAGATCCAATCATCCCATGAAACTAACAGTCTATGTTCATTGGGTTAAAAATAAATAAATTTATGGTGCGTTTTCAAATTTCATTTTTTCTAACATTGTTCATCACAGTGAACAGAGTGCATGTTGAAAAACTATGGTCAAATAAGTGCTGCGAACATGGTTTTTGCAGGCTAATTTCATTAAATTACCCAGAGCTTTTGTCTACAGCATTTGCTCTCGGCTTCTTCACCATCCAATCTAGATTGGATGGTTGAGAGCATGTATGTTTATTTTAACTTTATGTTCTTTTTTTCTTTCAAACTTATTGGATTAAAATTTCGTGCGCATATACTTCACATTTGGGTGCACTTGTAAAAAATATTAGAACATTATTTCTAACAAAAGACATAATCAAAATACCATGCATACTTCAGGGGTAATGTAGTTATTTTATTTTTAGAAATATTTTATTTTTATATTTTATGCAGGTGTGTCTAAGTGGGAAGTATAGATGCCCAAAATTTGAGCTCAGTCCGATTCATAAGGGAGGGGGCCAGGGGGTAGTGGGAAAGAAAAAAAGAAAAGAAAAGAAAGAACTTTAAGCACTGTAACGCGATGCCCACTGTCTAGATTCTATTGATGGTGAAACGGTGGGGAGTGAATGCTGTCGGAAACTCCCCTCTGGCAAATGTGCTAGAAATTCTAATAAATTTCCATTAGTTATTCTTGCGAAGAAACTGTGCCTGCCATCTTGAAATGGATATGGGAAACCTTTCAGTTGGTGATAGTGTATCTATATTTTATGAGATTCTTATTTTATATCATTCAATATTCCTTTGTTGTTGGGTGAGATGGGATCTGAAGTCAATATCATAGTGTGCACTTTTCTTTTCATTTTTGCTAAGTCTTGATCATTTCTGTCTTTCAGGCTGCTTCAGATTCTTGGTTTCTGAACATTTTCTTTTTCTTTCATCCAGCAACTGGTCATCTATGAAACATCAGCATCAGAGCTTGATATAATACGAGATATATCCCGCACCTTCCCATCGCACGTTTTCTTTCAGCAAAGACATGGGCCAGGTCAAAGATCCCTGTACAATGTATTGAAAGCATACTCCGTGTATGATAGAAATGTTGGGTACGTCCAGGTATGAATGCAGTGTACTTCACATAAAAACTCATCGTTGTGTTTTTTGTTCTAGTAACATCATGAGTGTCTAGTGAAATCTTCATCCATCAAATAATTTTGCATATGTAGGGAATGGGGTTTTTGGCAGGTTTATTACTTCTTTATATGAGTGAAGAAGATGCTTTTTGGCTGTTGGTTGCTTTGCTGAAAGGAGCAGTTCATGCGCCAATGGAGGGTTTATACTTGGTAATGGTCTTCTGCTTACATGCCACTAGACATTCCTTTGAAGAGTTTGTGTTTTTGTTATTTCCTCTCCTGCCAAGTTCATTGCTGTTTCTTCTATAATTTCTCGCTGTGCTTGTTAATCTGATGCCAATATTGAGATCCTATATTAAATTAAATAAACCAAAAAAGAAAAGGGAAAACAAGGGGAAGATTTTAAGATCCTAGTGATGCATATGGGCACAAAATTGATATAGGCATTGTGTACCTTGTCTCCGATTTGACGTGCTACTAGGCATTATGAGGATTGGTCTTTTAAATGTAGATGTTTATGTCCTATATACAGGCTCTGTTTACAACACCTTCAAAGGACTTCTTTGAACCTGCTACCATAGTGGAGTCCTATTTATTTCATTACGGATTTACTTCCCTGAGTTTCTTCATTCCACAATAAACCTTAATAGAATTATTCTTAGACTAAGAGGATGTTCTATAGATTGCACCTTGTGAAATAATTTAGTGAGAAGGATGGCTTTACATTACTGAACTCAACATAGAATTCGGCCCATGTTGTCGAAATCAAAATAACATTAAATTGATTCAAATACAAAACTAAACACTCTGGTTGAATATGTTGTTGGACCGATTGGCTCTCTTGTTAAACATTGTCACTTAGGATTATTGATGGTTTATAAATTACGTATCTGAAGTTTGCTTTTGACTTATCATCACTATTCTGATGTGGATGACTCCAAGCAACTGTTGCTCATCCATTTATTCTTTTCTACCTTGTGCTTTATGGAGCAGGTGGGTTTGCCACTTGTACAGCAATACCTTTCTCAGTTTGAGCAATTGGTGAAGGAGCAATTGCCAAAACTGGGACAACATTTTATGCAAGAAATGATCAACCCAAGCATGTATGCAAGCCAGTGGTTTATAACTGTATTCACATATTCATTCCCTTTCCCTTTGGCTCTTCGAATATGGGATGTTTTCCTTTTTGAGGTCAGTGATCTTGCGTCCATCTTATTCTTAAATGACAATTTGTGTTTGGTTTGTGGCACACCTGAGTACCCTGCTGGAGTTCACTATGCTTCAGAATTTTTATTTGTGGGATTTCTATTTTATCGCATGAATCTTTCTTGCTTGCCCCTAGGTTCTACACCTCTCTCTTTCATCTTTTTGGTGGAAGTCCGGGATCACTGTTGGGCATACCTGTTTCTAATTATGTATACTTCAGAATAAATATCATCTAAAACTTGTTCTGCATTGGCGTGCTCTGGTTCCTTTAGTTGTTTGCATGAGGTTGATTTCAGGTGAGTTGAAATGATGTCATCGATCTGGATTAAAAACCATTCACACAAAGCTGGGAAGAAAGCCTTCTTTTTATGACATAGAATATGAGAGTTTACAGATATTGAGGTGTGCAGTGGCTCGTATCTGGTTTTTATTGTTTTGAGCGTGAAAAATAAAGTGCTCATAAGGATGCTTGTGTATGTGTGCCTCAGCTTTAGTACTTAGAGACTTGTCTATTTCATGCCCCTTTAGAAAATGACCTGGCTCATTATGTAAGTGGTTGAGATCATTATGTAAGTGGTTGAGATGCAATCTGGGACACTTACACCTAGGTTTCGAAATTCCTACATGCTATGCGGCTCATGGAATAAAATAATTGAGTGATATTACTCACAATATTTCTGTGGTCAAAGTTATTATACATATGTATTGTAGTTTCACTAAACAAAGAGATACGGGCTCTGACGCTGATCACTTTCAAAATTATGAGCCACACTATGAGGCTGTGGGGGAGAGTGAATTAGTACCGACTAGATATTAAATGAGTGTTTGCAAAAATCAGTTCGGCGTTATGCTAGGGAGGTCAAGAATTGAGGCTATTTTCCTAGTTAGACAACTGATTGAGAAGTTTGGGAGAAGGAAGAGACCTCTACATGGTCTTTTTGATTCGGATAGCATACAATAGGATACCTAGAGAGCTAATTTGGTAAGTGTTGGAAAAGAAATGAGTCTTTAGAGGATATAGTGACGTGGTGAGAGACATGTATGAGGGAGTGCTAATTAGTGTCAGGGCTATTAATGGAGAGACAAGTGGTTTTCAATGACAATAGGCATACAATCAGGGGTCATCTTTGTTTTGGTTTTGGATGAGCAAACTAGGCTTCTACAAGATGAGATATTGTGGTGTATGTTGTTCGTTGATGACATTGTTTTGAATGATGAGACTAGAGGTGGCATCAAAGCAAAGTTAGAATTTTGGAGAGATTTTCTTGAGTCCAAAGGTTTTAAAATTAGCCAGTCTAAGACAAAATATATAAAATGCAAATTTAGTAATAATAGAAGTAGAAACGAGGAAGTATTTAAGATTGATGGCCAACCTAAAGGAGATTATTTTCGATATCTTTGGTCGATAATCCAAGATAATCAAAAAATTGAGGAAGATGTCGCACATAGAATTAGAGCTGGGCGGGCGAAGTGGAGATGTGCAACTAGAATTTTATGCGATCATTGCATACCAATAAATCTAAAGGAGATATTTTATAGCATGGTTGTAAGACCAGCCATGCTTTAAGGATGGAATGTTGGTATCTCAAGAAACAACATGTTCATAAAATGAGTTTAGTTGAGATGAAGATGTTGAGATGGATGAGTGGCAAGACAAGAAATAAAATTTGGAATGAATACTTCCAAGAGAACTTAGAAGTGGCTTTAATAGGCGATAAGATGAGGGAAAATAGACTTACGTGGTTTGGCCATTGGTAGCGTCCATCCAGAACAATACTGATTAGGGGGGGAGATTTGGTTCAAGTGGAAGGCTTTAAAAGGGCAAGAGGAAGGCTAAAAAAGATATGGATGAAAGTAGTGAGAATGGATATGATGGCTTATGGACTGATTGAGGCTATAGCCCTAGATAAAGTATAGCCCTAGATAAAGTGAAATGGGGGAAAAAGAGTGATATAGCTGACCCCAAATGGTTGGGATAAGGCTCAAATGGTGATGATGATATATATGTCTATATATGTAATTTTTAAAAGTGATTCAAAAGATTGAGAAATTATCTACAGACATGTACAATGAGAACTTTATAGCCTAAAATCTCATAGACAACTAAGAAATATAAAATTGAAGGGCCATGACAAGAGCATAACTTAGGAATCACCCAAGTCCCTACATTGAATTGCACGAGATAGGTGATTCACTATAGTGACAAATGCCTAGTTCTAGACAACCCTGGCAATTCCCCTCTTCGGGACCATTTGGGATGGGGAGCCTCCTAGGTCCTAGCCAATTCTGGCGATTCCTAGATGGTTTGCGAATTTTCAACTACTTATGCAAACCACGACCATGGAAACCAAAAACAAAGATCGGATGGTTATTAGGTAGAAAATTGTCAAAAAGCGTAAAGAATAGCACAAAATCAGTCTAAATCATGGTTGCGCCACATCTTCAGTGGGGTCACGCCCTTCCAAAGCAATCAAGATCCCTTCTAATCAGGGATCAAGATCCTTATAAAGCAGGGATTGAGCTCCCTTGATGGGGGAAACATGCGGTGCTTGGGCTCCAGATCACCTATGCGAGATTCCAACGGGGATCGCCATTCCTTAGTGTGGACCAAAATTATCCTGTCTCTAGAAAGTTTGCATATCACTCTTGACTGTAACTACCTCATCAATTATGTCTTTATCCTCAAGAGAGATCTTGGTGAATAGGGCAATCTAGCTCAAGTATCCAATATAGGAACAATCATTTACTAAGCAAAAACTACTTGTCACCTCTGATGCTCACCTTACTCGGCTTTGCCCTTGCCCATGCACACATGTTTAATCTTGATGGCTCTTCTCTACTCTAGTCCACCCGAGATCTTACAAATTGAATTTCTTCTCCTCTATCACCTGCCAATCTTTTGGAAATTTTGGTATTTTGATTGCCTAGTCTCAAGCTCATATTGCAAGATCATTGCCACCGAGGAATCTCGTCCTGTTGCAACACATCCTATTAAATGATTTTGACTTCCTGTTTCCTAACTTGGTCACTGAATTGCTGTCATCTGTGAATAATGCCTCTAAACCAAAGTGTATTGGTTGCACTTAAAAATGGAAAAAGGCCTTAAGTTCCATTTAATATGTTTACTTCATGCATAGATTTCTCTTTGTTACAGCTTATGCTGAACATGTTATGTCTTCTGCAGGGTGTTAAAATTGTTTTCAAAGTAGGACTAGCTTTGTTGAGATACTGCGAGAATGAATTGGTGAGTTCTTACTGCTTAGCAGCCATTTCTACTTAATCTTGAACTGAGAAATAATAGATTTAAGTTAATCACCGATCAAAAACGTTATTTAACTGATTCTTCTTCTGGTCATCAGGTCAAGTTACCTTTTGAAAAACTTATAAATGCTTTGCGTTACTTCCCTCAAGATGCATTAAATCCAGATGTCCTACTGCCATTGGCCTACTCTATCAAGGTTTTGCCTTTTCCCTTTTGATTCACTTATGCGTTGATTTTTATTCTTCTTGTAGTTATAGTTTAGTGAAAGCTCAATTTCTGTTGCAAGATTGGCAAGAGGGGTACTGCTAGCGCCAATAAATTATCATGACAAACTCGATGATTTGAGAAAGCTTTCTTTGAATACTTTTTCCAACAAAATAAAAGAAAAAAAAATTTCTTGAGTTGTCTTTGACTATCAACAAACTCTGTTCAGAAAGCTGCAAAGTTATTAATATTTTCTTTTGTTGGACTCTCTCCAATCTCATTTTGTTTACTAAGAAAAAAAATAGGTTTGATACTGTTTCCATCATTTGCTGTGGGTATTTTTATCAGTAAGTTTCTTACTTGTGTTTTGAGATAGACAATTTTGAGTGAATTAACTGTGTCAAAATATTGCACTTAACCAATATCCTCATCTTTAACTCGAATGTAAGAAATAAAATCATTTGCAGTAAAGGAATTTTAATAACTGTATATTGTGTACGATAAAACTCCCTTTTCCTTGTAATGCCATTTATCATTTTCGTGCAAAATTTGTCCTGTAATTTTTGGAAATTTTACTGCTTTCATTTTGGCTCCCACATTGTAGGGCATTTAAAACGTGCTGTAAAGTTGACACGTGTATTTTTCTCTCAAATCTTTTAAGGGCCATACTGAATTCTTTACTTCCTATTTGTCTCTTTGAAATATTGATCATATCGAGTATTGCCTTTAGTTATGTTTAAGCATTTTTGGATATTTCCGTCTGCTTTGTACATGCATCTTGTAAGATATGGAAAGATTCCCTCACCATTATTTTGTATTGTCATTTGTAAAATCTAACTATTCATTTTTTGACTTTTTTTATTTCTTTTTCTAGTGGTGTATTTGAAGTGCATGGAATACATGTGATATATGGCCTGTAAATTTTCATTGTAGTGCTTGTTAGGATATTTTCTTTTATTACTCTTTGTATTGCTTTTTGCTTTATAGTTAGATGAACCTCATTTTCTTTTTTTTCCATGTTTTCTAAATTGTTTTCTCAATTATATTTTTGTATAATGCATGGGCTGGGTAGTAGAATGTCATAACCACTTTGCATGTTTCTGTAGGCACGCACCCATATACATGTTAGACAATGGGTTGCAGAGATGTTTCCTTGTAGAGATGTTTCAGATACTTGTAATGGATTGGAGTTCTAATCTAGTCCATTTATCCAAAAATAAAATAAAAACAAATCAAAATGGTTATGTCCTCTTTTTACATATTTTTAGCTGATAGGTATAAACTTAGCGGGGGAAAAAAGACATTTTTTTTTCCATGATGAAGCTGATTACATTTCCTCCATGTTAAGATAATGCATAACTCAATTGGACATTTGCACTAAATAATGCATTTTGCATGTATTGTGTGTGAATGTGCATTAAGGGTTGAAGATATTTCACTTGACTCAACTTCATACTTTGGAATGGTATAAAGTTTTCTAGGTTATAAATGGTTCCAGATGTTCCCTTCATTTATCAAGTTCTCCTGGTGGATCGTTTATCTAATGACGTTTTTAGGGGTTGTGTGTGTACGCATCCACGTTATCACATTTCTTGTTTTTCTGGTGCGTTTCTTGGAGCATACGGCTTGTGACTTGCTGTGCCTTAGTCAAACATTCAATTCCTGTATGTAGCTTTGTAGCTTTATATATTTTTGGCTGCTAACCAGCTTAAAGTAAAGAAACAAAATTTGAAAATGAATTCATATTTGTCTGCCTTATGCATAACCATATCATACTGGATCAGAATGATTATCAATGTGGACACATTTTAACATCACAATTGTAATTTGGTATCTTTTATGTACTTGTGGTTTACAGGTATCAAAGCGCTTGGAGGTGCTTACAATTGAATATGGCAAACGAAATGGGGAATTATCGCAACCAACAGAGTCAAGGAACGAGCAAGTTGAGGTCACCAAGCAGTCGAGAAAGTGATCAAGCAGGCCTTGATCATGTTGCATGAAAGATATCTGCTTGTTATTCCAGCAAAAGAATTAAAAATTGTAAAAAGAAAAGAATGGAAGAAACATAAATTAATCGCACATACAAACATTGGAGTGGAAACTGTATGTGATTCTTTTATTCGTTGTTAATAAGTTGCCTTTCCTTTGATAATCATTTCCAGTGATGGATGGATCTTCTTGGGAGAATGGAGTTTACAATTTGGATCGGGAGAGAGAGAGAGAGAGCTTACTTAGAAGGTAAATGTAGCCCATTTGTTTGAAACCATATCAAGAACAGGTGCCATGACATATTATGACACAGCAGAATGAAATGGGAGTTCTGTACTTAGAAGACCAATCATCATTGAATACTTTTTTACAACTTTAGTTTCTAAAATTTCATATTTGCATTAGACATTCATGTTTTGTATTCGTGTTTTGTTGTCTGTTGTCTGTTGGGTTGATGTAGAAGCTTCTCAGTTGCTCGCTCATATCATATGGAAAATGCTGTTATCATAGTGATGCTACAATGCTGTTAAATTTCAAGGGATGCTACAATTTCACTCAGGTTTAAGGTCTTGATTTTGAACTGTAACTATTTTTTACGTTAATGGGAAATTTTTTATTGTGAAGTGAGAATTAGCCAAATTTATGGCAAATCAAATAGCGAAGTCCTTATTTCTTTACTTTAACCCGAGTCCTATTATATGCGTTCTTACCGAGTAGTATTAGTTAGGGAAACTACATTAAAACCTTGGCAAGCCACTGTCCATTATGTCATGGTCTTTTTTAAAGTTAGGTATGGTTCCCATGACGCATTACGCTGAAACAATTCAAGTAGGACACGCTTGTGTTTGAGGATGTAGTTGATGTATGAGAAATCTTTACAATGACTTGAAAATCTGTTTTTACTCCTAACTATGAAATTGAAAGTTAAAAAACTGGTGCAATTTGAGCAAATCTATAGACACTTGAAAATCGTGAAAGTGTGACAAGATTAGCTATTTCTATTTTTTAGGATTTGAATGTTTTTCGTACGACAAGATTAGCTATTTGTAGGATTTAAATGTTTTTTGTATTTTTACATGTTGGAGTAAGGCGGTTTGGAGATGTTTGTTGATTTCTTTTAAGGATGTGGTTTGTACAGAGCCAGGGTTCTAAACAATTAAATTAGATCCTACTTTCAAATACTGGCGAGAAATGTAGTTTTAATATTGGAAATCTTTGATTAGCCTTAAAATATGGTTTCATCTTTAATTATAAAATTTTAAGCTTCAAAACAGTGTAGATCGAACAGATCTATGAAAACTTGAATAACTTAAAAATTGACAGTCCAAAAATGCACAACAAGATGTGCTATTTCTAAAAATTGAAATCCATTTTTTTCTCTTGTCCATGAATCTTGATGTCGAGATGATCAATTTGAGGATATTTGACCATCAAAACAACTTCTTCCGGTTAAAGTTTTGAGGTAGGCTCTAATTTGATTGTTTAGAACCTAGGCTCTATATAATCATTTCCCTATAAATGTACGCTTCTATAGAGCTATATTCGTCTAAATTCTTATTGAGAGCTCCGCTTTTTCCAGATTTCAGCGAACTTGTGCACATTAGGTATGCGTTTCTTGAATCCCTATTCATCTTCCTTTCGTTATGAATTCTTCTTTTTATTTATTTAGTAGACTTCTTTTCTTTATTCTTGGAGACCATATTTATCTTCCTTTCGTTCATTAAATCTTATTCAGTAGGATTCTTTTCCTTATTCTTGGAGACCATATTCACCATTAATTGTTCGTTTTTATTCAGTATGGTTCATTTCCTTACTCTTGGAGACAATGATTCTTTTGCCTTTGTTTTAATAATTTGTTTATTTTTCCAACATCACACTGACCCATTTGTACTATGGTCCAATATTAGAAACCTGAACAACCCACACTTGGATATATATATATTTAGCTATTTATTTATTTTTATTTCTTTTACAAAACATTTCGACCGATTTGAGTTCACCAACATTAAGATCTGAGGGGCCGTTTGGGTACCTGAAAATCTATTGCACGAAACAGCAAGAAAATATGAGATTTATATAAGAGATTTACTATGAGTACACTTCTAACTGTAAGAAAATAGAAATAAATTGCACAAAATTTTTCTAAAATATGTGAAATCTATTAGACATGAGTACACTTTTAATATTAAAAAAATAAAAATAAATTACACAATATTTTTCTAAAATATTCGAAATTTAAATTTTCCCAAAATATTTGAAATCTATTACGGATGACTATAAAATCTATTACTTGTTTAACAAATAAAAACGGGCTCTTGCCCCGCCATTGTCCAAATAAAACGGATTTCATCACTCGTTTAACGGATAATAACACGGGTCTCTTGCCAACCGTTCTCCCCACGAAAACTCTCTTGCCCCGCCATTCTTCCTCTCTCTTACGCACATCCACTCTTACTAAACTTCACTGCTACTTTCTCTCTCTAAACTCCCAAACTCCAGTCCTCACTTTCACAAAGCCTGCAAAAGTGGCCGCATTCACTCTAAAAATGGAAGGGCAGGGGCTTCCCTTCCCTCTCTCAAAAACTAAGGTTAAATCACTTGCTCCGAAAATCCCCTTCCCTCTATCAAAAACTACGGTTAAATCACTTGCTCGGAGCTGCTCTGTCTTCTTTCATGGCAGTCACCAAATTCCTCTTTTTGCTAGTGGTTTTGGTATTTGCTTTTAGCCCTAAATTCTTCCGTGGGTGGGGGTGCTGAAAAAGTTTCTCTGAATCTGTAATATGAGACCCTTTGCCCTTACTGCTCCAGGTTCTTTGTTAATTATTTGGTCAAGATGTTCTCTAATGGCCGTATTGACCTTCGTCTCATCCCTTATGGAAATGCGTGGGTTGGACCCAACAAAACAATTAGCTGCTAGGTTTCATCTCTTCTCTCTCTCTCTCTAAGTTTTTCTTTGTTTGATCTCTTTTACTATAATTTGGTTATGATGTGAATTGCGCCGCTCTCTCATAGTAATTTGGTTATGATGTGAATTGCCCCTCTCTCTGTTTGTAATGTCTATTCTGCTTCACTCTCCCTTTCTTTCTCTACCCTTCTTTCTCTTTAACTTCATATCACATCACTCGGATTTGAACTTTTTTTTTTTCATGCCCAATTTCGATTTGCATACCTGCTCTATTCTCTCTCTCTCTCTCTCTCTCTCTCAACCTCATATAACTTGAATTCGAA